CAGCGCTGCGCGGCGGGAGCGGCAGAGCCGGGGGCTCGACAGAAAGTTCAGCTCCGCAAAAGCAAACAGGGAGCCTTCTCTCTCACACACTGCAAAACACCCCTTCAGCCGCCTCCCCCCGCCCCCTGCCTCCTACAAGTCAGCGGAATCTGAACGAGCAGTCCTGATGTTAGGAACATCAGGCATGTCGAGGTAGCTGCTTTCTAGAAAATTTCGGGTCAGTCGGTAAGACAGCTTGTGCCTTAAAAGGTGTTTAATCACTTTTAGAGCTTACAAGGCACGTTTTGTTATATAATGCTAATTATATACAACTCAAAGTAAGTTTACCAATACTAAGCAACATGTGGCACTGTACAATAGAAATAGGAACAACCTTAATGCTCTAAAAACTGAAATCAATTCTGTTGTTCACTTACCTGTCGCTAGAGACTCACAAATGCTATCACATAGAAAATACAGTGCTATGGAGCATTGGGCAGGAGGGAAAAATCCATCATTCCGGTCCTAATCTCTGTAATACAGCTGCAAATGCATGTATGCGCCTGTGTGTTGTTAAGACACACTTTTCTGTTGGATTCTGTCTTCTTTTGCTCAGCGTATCAGGTTTAAACTTTTTGCTCATGCTTCAAGCTCAAAAATAACTAGATTCAGGCTTCACCTCTATCGTTGTCTGTTGTGTTTTTTCTTTGTTTCCCAGTGACAGCAGTCCTATGCCTTTTTTGTTTCTTCTCTTCTCCCAACTGTGTATTTTCTTTTACGCTGCCTTCATACATGCATTTCCCTTCTTTTGTATTACCTAGAAGGAGCATATTATGTTGTTCTAATACCAACAAACTGTTACAGAACCATTAAGGTAACTACATTACCTAATTGAGAAAATTGAGTAACGCAAGATCTTGTTATTATAACCTTTGTCCTTAAAAATGTGAACTAATATAATCCAGCTGCTAAATTGGAAAGCAGCCATTCATTTTTCCTAAAGATCATGATTCACGGTATTTCATAAAAGCAGCCAGAGCTGGCCTCTGGGATTAGTGATTTGTTTGAATATGGTACCTGTATTTCTGGGAGGGCTCCAGCCTGCTTTGCAGCTGTGAAATTTATGCCACCTAAACTGCCATGCCTAATGAGTTCTTTCCAACCAGCTGAGCCAGCTTCCCTAATTTGCTGAGAGACAAACACAGTGCCTGGTCAAAGGCACATCATGAGAACAGGGTTACCACGCAGGACTCTAATAATAGTATTATAATGAAGTTGTTCACCCTAATACCAATCCTCATAGCAACTCCCACCCCTCAGCCTTTGACCGAGTCATGATCATTATCCAGTAAGCCCTTAATATTCGTAAGGTATTCACAGATTTTTTCAAAGTGCTGTGCAAAGGGGATAATCCATCAACAGTCTGCATGTTTTCAAATGGCTGTAGTCTGAATGACCTTTGGCAATTGTTTTCTGAATTATTGATAACTCTGCATGAATAGTAAGCACGATCTAGACTCATTCAGAGATGCTGTGATGCTTTAAGAGTTGAGTGCACGCACTCTTTTTATAAAACAAATCTTTTAAGTCTGAGTCCCAAAGAACAACTTGGTTGAATATAGTCCTGGATGTCGTAGGAGGAAAATGCTAGTTTAATAAATTTACCTAAGGTTTCTAACTCTGGCTTTGTTCACTAACAGAAAGGGTTCATTATTATACCTCTGCAAGACGGCAAAAAAGCATTCCACATAGATACCTCATAATCTTGGCAAAATATGTTTGAAATTAGAGATAGTGTTCCTAGCATATGCCAGTCCTCCAGATAGAGCAAGAAATAGTAGAAATATGGCTCTCTGATTTACCACTGCCGCCAGCCAGAGATCACTTGGCTGATGTACACGCTCTGCTCCTTCAAACTGCACTGGATTTGCTACTAGCTCACCACTGTTACTCTTAAGAACTTTGTTGCAGCATAGTCCTTTGCTACCACTGTTGTAATATGACCAGCTGCATAAAAAATAAATGTTGTCTGTAGGAAAAAGCTATTTATAGCATTGTTAGCATCTCTTCTTAGTCTTCTTGCTGAAACTTGGGTTGGTAGTTATAAAAGTTTTTCCTCCGTGACTCATCAATTGGAAGTTTTTTGAACCTTGCCTTCAATTTTCATGTAAGCACATCGGAACATAGGACTTCCACCTCTGATAGTTTCAGTGGTGCATCTTTTCAGATAATCTATCCTTAAAAGAAGCCAGCCGTAAAAGACTGGAAGAGTTGTCACAACGGGCATACTACAATGGATCCATCTTTCTATGTGGCTAGCTTACAGAAGCAAGAGCGTTGGTGTTGGATATCTTATTTTGTGTGCAAGAAAAAGCTGAAACATTATTTAAGGAAATGTGAGTTTAAAATCAAGTTGCATTTTTTAATGGTAAAGTCAAACCAAAATCATATCACTTTCATGTTTTTTTTTAACCAAAAGGTACATTAATGCTTAATCTACAGGTTTGCTATATAATATGTTAGCTAGACTCCTTACTATCACAGAGGACTATTATCTGAAATCACAGGCGTGAAAAGATATTAAATGACTCCTTGAATGTTTGTTTTGGGTGCTTTGAGAGACAAGTAATTCTATATAGCTAATCTGCACTTTCCATTCAAATGTAAAAATACCAGTAATACTGAATCCTGTCTTAGAGGCTGCTGCTGTTCAGATTAAACCTTTCCTACCTTCTGCTTACAGTGCAATGCAGAATACATATAATGTTTGCATATTATTTGTGGGCAGAATGTGATTTCACTTTACTGTTTTCTGATATACATTTTAAGCGATGTCTTTTTGCCTTCCTTTCACTGCTCTGGTTTCCTTCTCTTCCCTTTCCTCCTTTTACTTACGTTTATTCTTCTCCATGGCCCATGGCTTGTGCTGCAGTGTGCCACGTTGAGCATCAAAGCGTGTTGTCATCAAAGCGTGAAGAGACTCCCCTGTGGTTTTAATCCATTTTTAAAAAGGAGGCAGGAATATGAGTCTTTCTCAGACCCTTGTCACCTTATTTATTCAATGGCAGTTTTGCAAAAAACAGCCCATGCCTCATTTCTGTTATTCTGTTATTTTTGCTTTATTTACAACCTGCTGTTCAAGTTGCTATTAAAGCTAGATAATCCAGTGAATGGATTATCAAGAAATGAATTTTAGGAGAGGGTTCAGCTGCCGCACCATATGTACTTTAGTATGTAGTCCAGTTCATTTTCCTGACTTCTGTTGAGAAGAAAAGGTAGAGAACAAAGCTAGTCAAATGCCTTAAATGTCTATCTTGATGTGGAACAGTTAAAAGACATGTTTCAGGTCGCGTACGTAATATGGTGTTCCCAAGCCTTCCTTAGCAAGAAACCTAAATGTTCAGCAAGTGTAAGCCCATTTCCCATGTCCTGGAGTTTTTTCATAATATGAATTCTGTATGATCTTGCTGTTATACAGCAACTAAGGCAGCAATTTCCACATAAGAAGATTAGGTTCTGCAGCTATGTTTTCTTTCAGATGTTGTACCTAACTATGTATACAAAATAATTCAAGATAGATATACTGGCTGCCAAAGATGTCAAACTAACTTAGAGGGCAAGAAACTGAATAAACACTAGGTTCAGAGATTTGCCAAAAGGCATTTTTACTGCACAACATCATATCAGCTAGGTCAGTGGCAGGAATATCTTGCCCATGCAGGACAACTACATTACATACACAAAAAATATTATATTTGTAGACAAAAAGAACACAGTAGGATATATCAAAGAAGAATACAAGAAGGTCAAGATGTCAAGACTTTCAAGGAGGGATTTGGAGGAAGGCAATAAAACAGCTTTGCAGTCCTTTGTATAAAGATCTTTCCAAACACAGCAGGCAAGGCAGAAGAAAAAATAAAGTATTTTTTAGAAAATATGAGAAATGGGCAATTGAAGTTAGTAATATTGACAAAATAGAAATAGTGTATGAGAATAAAAAATCTTGGTTTAGTAGCTTAAGGAGGACCATAAAGTGAAGACTAGATCACTTTGCTTTATAAAGTGGAAAAGGGGAGTCTCTGGAGACTCTGGAAAAGAGAACAGGAAACTTGTACTGTGCAGTATCCTAATTTGTTAAGAATGCTTAGAAAGCATGCAGTTTTGGTGGAAGGATTGGTCAGAGCGTGTGAGAAGGATGTTACAGTAAATGAGAGATAAGAGTGGTGATGATTAGTTTTTAGATTGCCTTTAATTGATATGATAGTAGAAGTGCTGAGAGTTAGAGAGCTAACTTACTACGGTGAAGTGACAGAAAGGTGGTGGAAACGTCTACTGTGTCTGAAAGAAAGGTTTTGGGGGAAGAGATTGGTAGAAGATACCGAGTAAAGAGAGCAGCAGCAAATAGCTGTCTAGGAAGCTAAGGACAAGGGGATTTAGGAGTCCAGGCTTGAATGGATACCTATTCAGAGAGGCTTTCTAGCTCTTCAGCACATATTTTCTTCGCTCAAATCTCTACCTTTCTGGTCACCAGTACCGCAGTCTGTATCTTCTGTGGCACAATGGTAATTTTGTAAATCCATTGCCCAGCAGGCCAAATACCTGTGGAACAGTAGGCTGTGAGTGTTTCCCTTTTGATACTTGCACCTTTTAAAGAAACAAAACAAAGCTAACAAATAAACCCGAGGCAATTAAGTTAACACGGTGTGCAGTGAGCATATGAGTATTATTATTTAAATTACTTTTCAAAGTCATTATGCAGCCTTGGGAATATGGTGATAATTCCACGCCTGAGAACCAATAATACTTATTAAAAATTAAGAGGCTACTGAAAGGATGAGAATGTGAGCACGACTGTATCCTGCCAGGGCAGTACGGGCCTTGCAGAAGTCAGTTCTGCAAGGTTTTAAACTTCTCAAGGTTAGAGCTAGGCTCTAAATGAATAAGGAAGGATTCAGCATTAAAGTATGCCCTGCCCTCTCTCTGTCTGATGTAATTATAGGAGAACTTTAAAACCCAGTATTTGGCACTGTCTTTTAAGCACTACAGCAGTATAGTGGCTGGCAATAAAAACAAAACAAAAATATGTGAACCCCTCCCATGCCTTTTGCAACTTTGGCAACACACTGCATAAAGGACTGTCTATCCTATTCATTTGATTATCAACTTGAGCAGTGCACATATCTATACTTTTGGAAAGAAATTGTTATTTGCTTAGTCTGAAATTGTAAAAGGCTTCTTTAAAAAGTTAGTGCAATCAATTAAAATCAGAGCAGCCACCCAGCAAAATATCTTGTGTTTCCTAGAACTACAGAGATCTAGTGCAACTGAGAGTTGTCCACCAGTCTCTAAAGGGTTAGAACCACATAGGTAAAACCTGTGCTTTATGATATTTGTTGAAATGCTAGATTCATATTTTTCATTATTTGATAAATATTACCTTCTTTTGCTTTCTTTGACTGAGTTGAAGAGTCACACAATCACTGGCTGGGTACCTCAGTTTCTGCTTGGTCTCTTTTAGCAAAAAAATAACATAGAGCACTTCTGACATGAGGCAGAGGGGCAAAGTTTTTTTTGGTGCAACATGATTGTATTTGTAAATTTTAGGGAAGTCAGAGAACTTCCACAATTATCTCATGCGCAAAAACCTGTAGGTTACCATCTGGTCAGAAGAATGATGCAGCGATGTTCAGAAATAATACGGAAAAGTGAACCAAAACTCAATGAAAAGATAAAAAAAAAGGGAAGTAAAAGAACTAATGAGTAACGTACTTACTAGAAATGATACTTGTCGTGGTCTTTCTCTCATCACCGGAGTGGGTAAGGGAGAGTTCTGGCTCATATGCTTGTGCTGGTGGCTCTGCAGGCGACCCGAGAGCAATAGTTTGGTGGAACGCAAAATGAAAGTGGAGTGTAACTTCCTCCGTAGGTGATTCTTTTTTTCAGATAGGGGTAGGATGTTCTGTCACTTGATTTCTGGAAAAAGAGCAAGACTGAGAAAAAATATCCATGGGTCATATGTCATAGATGCTTAGAGGTGACGATTCTGTTTATAATTCTGAATTAATTCTATATGGAAAGATGACAATAAAAATGAACCGTGCCGCTTGCTGCAATGCAAAAGGGAGTGGCCAGATATCCTGGGTATACAAACTATAAGACATTCTAAAGTAGAAATGAAAAATCTATTTGTATGACTAGAAGTGATTGTTCATATGCTTTTCAAGGGATGCTTGCAGCATCTGAAGCAAAAACAAACATCTCCAAAAACCTTTAGTGAAAACTCTGCCAGAACAAATCACAAATGTTGTGGATAGTGAAAAGGCAATATTTCCATTGTGAAAAATCTCTTCAAAGTTAAGTGATTGCACAAATAATTTATTTTTGTGAGAAATGTAATTATAATAATGAATACTCTTGCTTAATAGAAAATAAAATAACATTGGATAGCAGAATGCTCATAGCAATGTGTTCTTTAGCAAATTTCTGAAAATATATAATCTTTACATAAATATTCTAAAACCTAAGACATCTAATACATGCTTAATATTTAAAGACTTTGAACAAGCGGTACTCAACATATTGCTGCCAACTTCAGCCCAAAGGATTAAGATGAAATTAATAAATTCAAAACTAACAAAATCTTGAATGTCAGCATCACAAGACTTTTGCTTATAAGCAGTTCATGCTTTTAAATTATTTTTCACGCATAGTATGAAATAGATAGAATTGAATAGAAACTGAAAAACAAAGAAGTTATAAAAAGCTACCTGAATTAAGGGATAAATATCTTAAAGAAATATAACCACTGATTTTACTTAGGGATAAAACAAAGACAAGCCAGAAATCTGTACTTCAGACGTGGTAAATGTAGCCTTAAATGTACATATGAAAGAGAACAGCAGTTATAAAAAAGATGTCTATAATCACATGTAATAAAGAAGCTCTATGTGAAAGAGAAGACTACAGCTAAAACTTAAATGCAAATATTGTCCGGAGTGCCACTGATAAATACGGTGTGCTTCCGTGGAAGTCAAGTTCGCCAGCTTCTCACAGAAAAGTAACTGATCCAGTGTTCTTAACATTTGCACGTTCTCCCGTTAGTAGTTATATTCTAGGATCTGAACCAAAAAAAAAAAAAAAAGGCAGAGGAAGCTCATTGGATTTGTTCCATCTTGAGGTAAATCAGACAGCAGCTGGCAGCAAAAAGAGTTTCACCTTATTTCATCTCACATATGTATATTCATAGAAAGAATGATATGACAAGATTAAAGTCATATTTGTCTACTAGCTGGGGACAATAAAAATGTTTTCCAGAAAATATTTGATTTTGTTTAGGCACTGAAGTTGCTGCAGTGCACAAACAATTTTCTTCAAATTTACAGTGATTTTTTAAAAAAAATTATTTTAAAAGTATAGATCTTCATGAAAGTAAACATAAATCATGATGAGAATTTATGTGGGTAACGATAAACAGGGATGGTAGCACAATCTAAGAAATTGTCTCACTTTTCTCATTAAAGTTAATCCATTAAATTTTTCTTAATTCTATCATGTTATATCCTTCCTTGCTTAGGCAACTGTGTGAAAAGGCTCTACAGTGACTATAACTTATAAAGGATATTTTTTCCATGGTACAAATGTGCCTTTTATGACAGTTAACTCTACACATTTCAATATTTATTAAATTTGATAAAACTGTTTCATTTTCTAATTCAGTATTGATAGTTACTTTGTACTCTCCACTTTTGCTTTATTTGGTTATTATTGCACTGCAGCATTGAGAAATCTGAATGGGTCTGAACAAGTTAATCAGAAAACAGTCTTTTGGGGATAAATTGCATGATGTAATAGTATTCCATTTCACAAACCTTTCCATAAATTCAAGGTTTTGAAGATGATGTTTAGTGCTAAAAGTGCCTACGTAGAGTGCTTTAGAAGGTTGATGACTAAAATTATAAAAGAAAATTAAGACATAGATAAGGTGAGGGTGGAACTAACGTACATAAAGTTACTGAAATAAAATTTCCTTTAATGCAGGGGTATTCCATTTAAATCTAACAACGCTTGCTTCGATGGTGGGATTAAGTGAGGAATAGATCAACACCTTGTTGTGTAGTGGTGGTTGCCTCGGGGAAAGTAAACTCATAAGAAAAGGTAAGCACATTGTTAGTGATGTTTATATGGATTCATTATATTATCTGCTATATTAAAACTGTCATTTTGAGATTCAGCTTTCAAATGCAGCATTAGGAGAAGACAATTAAAAAGAATTCCTAATTCTTGTGCCCTTTTACAGATTAAAATGCACGTATGTATGCCCTTCCTCCCTCAGCTGCATGCCTCCTGCATACTTTGGCCATGTAACTCAGAGCTACCTCTGCAAAGGGACTTCAGTAGTTTTTGAACACCTGCTTGTAGCTGCTGCAGGGTGTTTATGTTTTTGTGAGGAAAATTGTCTCACTGCTTAGGTATGTTAATCTTTGTAAAGCTGAGCAGTTGATGTCTAGTACGTACGTAAGCCCATTTGGGTAAAATCTTCCCATCTCCTAACTGGTCCTATGCGCTGTGACCTGAGCTCTCAGCGTGCACAGATCCTGACCTGGATTCCACACCATGGCAGCAGACTCTCTTATGAAAGTATGTTGTTGTGCAAGTCCTCCTTTTAAAAATAATTCCATGGTTAGAATATATGCCTAGTCCCTGGTCGTTCCTTTCCTCTTTCTGTCTGGGAGAGGGGAAGGTTCAAATCCACGTCTCTTTCCCCTGATGGGGGGGGATAGATTAAATAAATTTAGATAAATTCAGATTCTCCTATCTAAATTTATGCTACTTTAGGGCTTAAATGCTTCCAGCTTTCCCGTTTTGCAGGGCAACTCTGAAAGTGCATTAGGCCAGACACAAAGTGAAAAATAAAGGCGGAGATGCAAGGAATACCTTCCTTTGATGGTTCCTATTTATTATTGCCTTTGAACATATTTAAAAATGGGTACAGTGAATGAGCTGAACAATCTTGTAATAAGGCAATCTTGTAATAAGTTAGGCAGGGTACCTAATTCTCCTAAGATATACATTTTTATAATACACTGCTGTTAATGGAATTAAATCTGGGGCTAGATAAATGAAACATATATAAAAGCACTGAGATACAGTCATCTTTTTATAGATCTAGACCTTCGTTCTTGTATGAATGAATTTTTTTTCTGGAAGTGGTAATTGACAATATCTTACAATTATACTGTTAAATGAAATTCGCTAATTTAGTGAAATGCCTTATCAGTTAAGAGAGAAATATTGCTGCTATTTGAATTATTTCATGCTGTGTAACATTACTAAATTACAACATTATTTTTGAGATGGTAAGGATCAATTGTTAGTTTTTTTAAATGACAAGTGAAAAAAATCGTGAAAACTAACAAGTTAAAAAACTTAAATAAGAATATGAAAGTTAATGTAGGAAAATACCCTATCAAAGATCTATAAAGCATTCAAGAACAGAACAAGTGGGTGACACACTGGATATTCCTGCAAATTTGAAGGTAATCAGGCCTGATTGCTCAATTTTTCTAGCTCTGTCTGCCACATGATGTCTCAGATCACTTTCCTCTGTACGTAGGGATGCTCAATATTTCAGTGTTATAAAAGGCCAAATCTCTTATGGACTCATATGTATTTTGACAAGTTAAAAAAAAGTTAGAACAAAGACTGTTAAATATTTCACTAATTATGATAAGATTTCTTTTGGCAAAATTAATATGTTTCATTTTGAATTTGTTACTCTTTATTTAGGTTTTTATATTCTATTAGTCATATTGTACTTTAGCACAGTTTGTGCATATATCACATTTCTTATCTGTTTCAATTTCCCGGTATTCTTTTTCCCAGAATACTTGTGAAATTTCAAGACTGTGAATTTCCTTTTAGAAATAAGAACAAAATTTAATGTTAGAATTTCCTGTAGAATTGAGTTTCAAATTCTCAGCCATTCTATTCAGGAGTTTTTTATTGCTTATTAGGCCAGTGCATTCAGATGAACTTTCAGCTTGGAGAACAAAATAAAGGGAAACTCGTTAGCCTCATAATATAACTAGACTACATTCCCACTGATTGAAACATCCCTCTCAATCCCCCATAATTCCTAATGTCTTCCAAATATTGCCTTTTCTTTTGCATTATATCTTGGAGTCCTCACAAGATATTGAAGTGTGTGTTGTACCAACTTTTATTAGATAAACTAGAAAATGAGGAAAAAAAAGCATCCTCCCAGTTCTGGAATGAAATTTTGGCTTGGCTTGTGAGTCACAGCCTAGCTGTAAAGAACTGTGTAATCCATTTCTAAGCAGCTGAAGCAGCAAAATCTATAAAGCAATTTACAGTATTGCAGCAGAACTTCAACAGAGTTTAATTAAAGTGTTCTGGTGATCTGAAGATATTCATAATCCAGCACTGAAATTAAAGAAGTCCACATCAACGTAACTTTTTCTCAGGCTCATGATGCCAATTGGCATTGTTATGTATATGTACATATGTATCTCCTATCATGTATATAAATCTGCATTTAATAACCAAAGTACAGAATGGTTTTTCAACTACCCCGAAGAAAGTGATGCAGTGTAGAGAAATGAGGCACCTAGTCCCAACTGGTTGATTCAAATAACTTAAGCGAGGCCTTTAGGCCTTCTGTACAGTTCATGGAGAGAATCAGATGAGTGACCTAAAGAGGAAACTTACCCGCCGAGTTGCTTAGAGCCTGCGAGTCAGAGCGCTGAGCACAGCACACGTCTGAACCCTGCACATTGGGTATCTATGTTCATTTGGCATCCAGCATCCTTTCTGAGCACCAGTGCCTCACTGGGAAGGATTATTGGGATATTTAAAGCATAGGTGTTAGTGGTGGTGGAATCATTACAGTGTGCGTAATACAGTTAGACTGTGGAACTCATTGCCATAGGCTGTTGCAGCAATTTCACATGAGTTCAAAAAAAGATTAAGCAAAGTTAGGGAAGAAAAAAATCCATAAAGAGCTATTAGACACAAAGTTGCCATCACTGAAGGTAGGAGA